CTATAATAGTTAATCATAGTCAAGGGTTTTTCATTGTTGTATGATTGATTTGGAAAAAAAATCACTTGTTTTCAAATGTCTTTCCGATTGGCAAATCTTATCTTATCTTATCCAGACTTCATTCACTTGTTTTTCAGAGTATTTCTCCTTCAAGTGCCTTTTTCTACTGTGCGTGTGTGTTGTGCGTGGAAGGTGTTTTGTTTTATCAAATAAATGAGATATTTGTGTCAAATATCAAACATTGACAAAGAAGTGGTCCAAAAGCACTGCTTCAGTCCAAGTGTAAGAGCAAGTTGAGCATTTAGTGTCATGACATTATAAGTAATGACATTGTATATAATGTCATCATAAGTAATGTCATTATAAGTAAGAGCAAGTTATGCATCCAATAAAGACCATTGTGTGGTCTTTATAAAATTAAGATTTTATAAAGACCAATTCCTTGTGATGAAGTATTTCAGATCAAGTTTGTTTTGGAATACTTGATCACTTCTACCAACCCAACATAGACCTGAAATTGAAAATAATCAAAGTCCAGTTTGGAAATTTATTTTATTTTTGGTTATTTGTTTTATTATGTTTGCGCTGTGACATTAGTGGCTCTCAAACCTGACCCAGTTTCAAAAAACCCGGTCGCCCCAGTGGAATTTTTGGCTGGGAGCTGTCAACAAATGTCAACTTGATACACAAAGTTACTGCCAAAAAACAACTGGGTCAACTGGGTTTTTTGAAAACTGGGGCAGGTTTGAGAGCCACTATTGTCTTAGAGCATCCACAGTGGTGGGCTCCAAATCGGGGCTCCAAATCGAGCGAATTCAAATTTGGTGGGGCCCCAAATCAATCCGGATGCAGTCGTTCGGACTTCAAAAGTGTAGATTCTATGTGTTTACACACACTTTGAGATTGGTACGCGTGGGCTTACATGTGTGAGGTATGGGATTGAACAAGTGCGGGAATTTGGAGCCCGGCTTTTTGTTGCCAAATATGTAGCCCAAAGCTCGAAATTTGAAGCCGGCTACAAAAAAATTTGGCGATGGGGACTGCCATTGCACCAAAAAATCGGGGCTCAGTCACCAAATTTGGCGATAGCCCCGATTTGGAGCCCACCACTGTGGATGCTCTTAGATTTAGCATCAAATACAGTAACATTCTTTTTATTTCACATACAGCCATTCCAAAATTTCTTGTCACTCACATTTTTGAAAAGAAAAGGCTTATGAGCTCAAAACCTAAGTTTTAACCAGTTAAAACCTGAAAATTGGCTGTACTTCCTTGAATTACAGCCAATTTCAAAGTTTTATTGAGTAAAAACTTAGGTTTCACCGAGTCTCACTTTTTCTTTTTCAAAACGGAGCAACAAGAAATATTGGAATGGCTGTAAGGCAACAAAAGAATAAAAAAAGGTACAATAGAATATGATCATTTCATAGTTGATACATCAATTGATATGTATCTAGCATCACATAAGGGGACAATAGAATAAGGCATAAGGGGAAAATAGAATTCAAAAGAATCATAGATAGCCACAGCCTCCAAGAAGGCCCTCACAGAGAGAAGGGGTGAGAACATCCATAGCAGTAGTAAAAATGACTGCTTTTTCTTCTTCCAAAGTCAAGGCACCTTGAAGAAGTTGAGATTGTCTCAACCTAGCCTTGAGAACTGAGAACCTTTTCTTGATGGGATTAAAGTTGGGGCTGTTTGACAGATACAAGAGCCTCACACCACAAGCCTTGCACAGGTCAGCTACGCGCCCACTGTGATGGATAGGCTTGTTATCCATCACCAAGAAAATATTTCTAGCAGGTCAAGCATTCATGGTGGGAAACTGCATACAAGCACACCAATGTCATAGTTGGGGATGAGAAGAATAGGGATGTAGGAGGCTACTTACTACATCATGCTCCAAATATGATTCAAAATCAATACAAGAGTAACCTCCCATCTGGATCTTACAAGAAATGATGACATCCATTGAGATGGCGTGTAAGACAGACCATTGAACTGCCACCGTTGGCCTCTCAAGGCGGCTTGACCATGCACCAACAGGCAATTGTGCATAAGCTTGGTACAATTGGTGTTTTGTAATAGCACTTTCATTTGATCAAGTTTCAAATAAAGTGTGGAACATAGTATGAGCAACATATACAGATGAGTACTGATATACAAAAGGTTACTAACCTGTAAAAACCAAACGTCTACAATCTATTCCATGTACCAACTAGATATAAACACTTTGGGTGACCATAGATCGATTTGGGTAATTTAGACAAGCTTTCTTTCTTGTCCATTTCAGTCAATGTCAAAGTTCATTTGAGAGAGTCATTGTTGACACATCAAGGCCAAACTGATCAAAGATCTTTCTTTGTAACACATCTAGGTAGAGAGTGGTATCCAGTCAAAGAGCCTCAAGAACTCCTTCACAGCTTGTCGTAGAGTGGTTGGCGGCCCTTGGTCCATGTGATTGCCGGTGTTGGTGACCACAGCTCAAATTCTTAGGTAGAGAGCATAGCACCGCCTGACCAATGTAAGGGAGAGTTCCATTCCAAGGTTAGTGATGATGTTACAAAATCACATCCCTCGGAGAATCATCCGCACAACCACAATTTTGATATCTGGACTATAGAGGTTAGTTGGCATCTATTGATTGTTTGACGGGGACAAAGAGAAGCAGGGTGTCAGTAAGTGATCTTGAACACCCTTCAAGATCCTAAACTTTGCCTGCAAGAACAAACCTTTGCTGTATTTTAGAATCCAGTTGATCAAGGCAAAGAGGTTGAATCATGAGATACAGTAGACCAATCCTATTCCAGTCTATAGAATCAATTCATCAACAGAGAAAAATGGAAACATGAGATAGAAAGAATCCAAGGCTCACAGAGCAGACTTGGTGAGAATGAGGGGAAGTGGGATGGATACGAGAAAATGTGAGGAAATGAAAACAAGGGGAGGAAATGGAAACAAAGGAGGACTCAGACAGACCCTATTGAGAACAAGATCAAAGGAAACTCTATGTGATATTCCTTTCCAAGCCTTGTGAAGTTTCAATTGACATTTTGACAGATATGGAAGTTCTTGCTATGTAGGAGAAGAGAGAGAACCTCATGGTCTCTCACGGTACATTGCCTTTTTTGGGGAAAAACTCAGTTTTATCTAATTATTTTAGTAGCTGTACATTCATTCTCAGAAATGTTGGAAAATCCAACATTTTGAGCTGAGGTTGTGTCCCAAGGAGGTGACTTTTTGATGACATGTGTCACGGAAAAAGTCATGGCAGCTGTTGAGTAGAGGTTAGTGTCCCTTTCACCACCCTCAACTCCCTTTTGTCCTCTCCATGCCATCCTTCCTCTGATCCTCAGCTTGTGTTCACATTCCTTACTGTGAAATCATGGGTTTTTCCCATAATTCTGAGGACATCAAGCTGTTAGCCATGTGGCCATTGGCAAGATAGTAGTGTGGTCCTTGGGGTATGATGGAAAGTAATTGAATTTTCATCTTGAGATAGCTGTCAAAAACAAAGTTTTTTTTGTATTGCTCAGCGCACGGACCCCGAGCTCAGCTCAAGATGTTGCATTTTTCCAGCATTTCTGAGAACGACTTAAACTAGTCCCTTTTGTCATTTAGCTTGATTAGATAATGCTCATGAAATAAAGCCTTATGCACCTTTTGTTTAGAAAAAAAAACCTCAGATCAAAACCTTGGAAAGATTCTGTCTGAGGATTTGAGTCCAATGATACCTTGGGTTGAAAAATTCAAGATACATTTGTTGGCTGTGATTGCAAACAAAAATGGTCTAATGAAAAACCTCATAAGATATCAGCACACATCAAGGTTTTTGTCAATTAGAGTGGTTTGTTTTTAGATAGTTTGAGAAGGGCAGTTTGGCTTGGACCCCTGAAAAGGCCAATCTGGTTGTTATCCTGGACAGCCCTGATGCAGCCTGGAGTGCTGATGACACCGGTGGCTGATGATCTTTTCACTGGAAGCTATGATTGTACTCCAGTTGCTGTTTTGTCTGGAATTAAAAAATAGATCTATTTATGTGTTTATGAGAGATTGAATGGTTTGAATTGACTCCACAAGAAAAATGATGAGATTTCAAGAGGAGGTGTGAGGTCAGGTGGTGGGCGCGGATTTGGCAGACAGGGGCGCGCCCAGGCGCAGAATCCATTGTCTGGGACGCGCCCAAATAGCAGGGGGCGTGTGGGCGCGCCTTTGAAGCAAAAAACCATCAAAAACATGAAAAAATCTTCACAGAAACAGCAATCAAGGCTGTGATGAAGCGCAAACACAAATGGGGATGTGAGAAAATCTGTTTCAAGTCCGTATGACCACACTTTCAAGATAAGAATCACTGAAAGTTTTTGTTCAAGAACTAGTTTAAGCGTCTCCCGACTCAGATGAGCTCATCTGTAGGGCTTTCTCCGCCTTGAAAGTCAAACGGACCAGAATTACAATTTCATAGGCTTCCTCTAGCCCAAGATTAGGCCCAAGAAGACCTCCTACGCTTTAGATTATCCAAGTCTTGTGTATGGGCACGCCACCCCCTGTTTTGAGAAATGTTTGACGCGCCCGGCGCGCCTGGCCGGGCGCGCCTTGTGACGCGCCAAACGCGCCGCGCCCACCACCTGAGTGTGAGGCACAATTTTGGGTCAAATTTCTTTGCACCCGATCAGTGTAGAATCATTGCTTTTTGTTTTCTGTTTTTAAGATTTAAATCATTAATTCAGTTTTCAAATCTTTCAAAAACTAAAAAATGACAAGACAATCAATCCCAAAAAATTTACCCAAAATTGTAAATATCAAACAAAACAAAAAACTAATTGCTAAATAAAAATGCAACACAATAATACCCAATGTATCAAGAAATAAAGATCTATGTATATAACAGTACAGATACATCAAAATAAATTGCACAAAACGACAATACACAGCAGCAACAAAAAACTTTTGTAGAAAAAACTACTTTTCATCATCATAATTTGGTGTTTTGTTTTGATGTTTTATGATAATGGACCAAAGAAAGGTGACATTGAAGGTTGAGATAAATGATCCCAAGATGAATTATCTTCCTCTTCTCCTTCTCCTTCTGCTCCTTCTCCTTCTTCTAGGTCTTCTTCATCATCTCCTTCCAATCCTTCACATCCATCTAATTCTTCCAACTGACTTTCTTCTGTTTCTCCTGATCCTGATTCTTCAATCTCACATTGATCTGATGATTCCATTTGATTTTCTTCTTCTTCTTCTTGGTTTTCTTGGTCTTCTTCTTCTCCTCCGAGTTCTTTGGTTTTGTTCTTTTTAATCAATGATTTCGCGTATTCTAAATCCTGTAAAACGTAATGAAGAAATGTCAGAATGTGATCAACTTCAACAAAAAAAAAATTAAGCTTACTCGATAAATACTTTCAACAGCTTTACTAACTCCAGATTCCTGTGGCAAAGAAACACACCACTCAAATCAATCCCCCATCTCTCTATTCTCAATGTTTTCTTTATATCTTAATCTGACTTACTGATCTAATCAATTCTCCAATCATCTTGGCTTTCTTAATCATCACTTCATCTTTAGTTCCAATCTCTAATGCTTTACATAAACTTTTCACATTCATCTTTTTTAATCCTAATCCAATTCCTAATTTTTCGACTCGATCTGCCCAAAAATATTGATCACCTGATATTTCAATTCATTCCAATTCCAACAAAAAATCGTAAGTTTCTTGAAATCTCAAATCATGCTTCTCTTGTCTTTTCCTTGATGGATAAAATCACTCACCAAAAAATGGTCGAATAATGGTAGGAACTCCAGCTAAAAAAACCCCACAAAACAAACATTACTTTCAAGATACATTCAAATCAACAAAAGATAAGAGAATTCCAACAAACCTCTAAGACTAGCACCAGTAGTACCAGCCCCACCATGATGACAAACCGCATCAATCTTAGGAAACAACCAATCATGTGGTACAGATTGTAAATTAAAGATTTGTTCAGATTCATTGATCAATTCGTCATCTTCTTTAGTTTGATTTTCTTTTTGTGGTTGATTATCTTTTTTACTCATTCGATCTGACCATCCTTTTGATACCACTGCATGAACTCCTGATTTTTCTACTGCTTCTATTACCATCTTTGATAATCCTATTGGATCTGGAACCACAATCTATTCCGAGAAAAAAAACGTGATCTGATCAATTAATTGAACCTATTTAAGACAATCAAGAGAAAAAAGAGTGATCTCTTCTTACCGATCCAAATCCAATATAAACAATTTTCTTTCCCATCTCTCTAGACCTATTCAAGAACTTGATCAATTCTTGATCAATCTTTTTATCATCCTCACCTTGACCTTCGTCTAAAAACCAATATCCAGTAATATGAACCCATTCGAACCAATCAATTGGCATAGGTACAATCGAAGGACTAAAGTTGTATAAGAACGGTACTTTATGACATTCCATCTTATCAAATGTAGTGGATCTCAATCCTAGTTTTTCTTTTCTCCATCTATTCACTTGTCCTGAAATTGCTCTCCAGAAAACTTGATCAAAAACCGTATACCTATATTATGATGATGATGATGATCGTTAGTCTTGATTGAATGAAAGAAATGATGAGGCGGAAAAGAGAAACCAACGTCATATAGTTATAACCTCCTCCCATCCTATGATCAGGTACAGCGAATGCATGCGGATAAGTACGAGTGCGAGTCCAAGGCATGGTGAACGCTCTAAAGTAAGGGATTCCTAAAGCTTCAGCTACATGAATCCCTGCCATGGTCGAGGGACTTTCAATCAGAAGATCGGTTCCCTGACATGCTTCATAAGCACTTGATAGTAAATCGTCTAACCATCCTCTGAACTGAATGGTTTTGTGAGTGACATTAGTCTATGTAACCATGTTCGAACAGCGGGAAAAAAGAGTACTTACTTTGGTGAGTCCTTCCTTTAAGAATGACAAGGTGAACATTCCTGAAGATTGATATCACATATCCAGATCGCAGATCATCAGCAAACCAAACCCAACATAGGTAACTGTCAAGGTGAATAGAACAGACCATTGTCCACACAAATCTTCATCAACTCAGCTGGATCACCACCAATCTCAACAAATTCAATACCATAACCTTCGATCCAATCTTTATATTCACCATGACTAGCAATTCGGGTCCGATGACCATCTTTAGCCAACTCGTTACATAGTGCAATATAAGGTTGAACATCACCACGGCTACCGATGGTAAGGCAAGTGATATGAAGTGTTCGATTAGGTTTGAAATTAAGGAAATCAGAGGTAGTTGATTGAAACATGATCGGTGTGATTGGTTCTGTTTTCTTCTTCACAGATTTCCTTCTCGATATCCTTTCAGGTGATCCCTTTCCTTCAAGTTGCCCTGACATCAAGTTCATATTATCCGAATCATCTGATTCTCCTCCTTCGTCATCGTCATCGTCTTCATCATCCAAGTCGTTTCTAAATACTGATCCCAATTCATCCTCGTTTTTCTTGGATTCATCTTCATTGCCTTTTTCAATCTGGTTGATACCATCTGCCTCCACTTTTTTAATCTCTTTTATCAAAAGGTTCATCTCCTCCAAGACTATACTCTGATGTGTTTCATTTAGAAACTCCAGGAAAATTTCTTCATCTTTCCCGTTCTTGACAATGATCACTAACCCATGGTATCCGAACCGAAAACCTTTCTTTAATCGGATCTGTAGAATCTCTACTAATGGTAAGATCATCTTGGTCATTGAACTGGATATCGGTTTTTGCCCCTTGAAACAGATACAGGCTTTCGTGTAATTTCTCGCAGTCATCAGGGCCGGTTTACTGATATATAATCTTCCATAGATTGGCAATCCTCGAAAGAGGTAGCAATTGGTCTTCAAGCTCAATTTCACCACATGCTGATTGTCTCCTTCTTCGGTTTGAATCGGATTGGAGAAATTGAAGATCTTTTGAAACTTTTTCTCATCTCTTGCAGTGATAAGTGAAATACCTCGAGGTGTGTCAAGATTTTTGTCCTGATTGTCCACCTTGCTACCAGATTTCAGTTCACACGATGATGATACGGGTTCAACTAGGACCATACTTTTCTGTAAGTCGTTTGCCCTCGATTCGTCGTTGATCGATGATTGATTCGGATTGGTAACAGTGATCGAGACTCGACTACTGACAGTATTGCAATGAGGTCCGAGTTTCTTTTCGCCCCCTGCTCCTTGATCATCAACTTTGTGAGTTCCACTACCGCTCAAAGGTGCGATCAAGATATTTTTAGCGGCTGCGACAGCTTTCCAATGGATATCTTTAGCCGGTTTACTGATTGATGGAACAGCTTTTAACCAACCGGGGAAGATACCCCAGCTTGATGAAGGATTAACTGAATCGGTTGTTTGGCCATCGGATCTCAATGGCTGCGCATTTGCATACTTTGGACTAGCAGTGAAGTGACTGGATGAGTGTGCCGAATGTCTACGATGTGATCCAGGGGGATAGATGTATGATTGATCCAATGGTGCAGACTTGTTAGTCTCTTGTTCGTCCGTACTCGACGAAGTGTTCAGTGGAGTTGTACTTAAAGTTTCACCTTTGTCTGCAGAGGTGTGTGATAAGCCACTTAAGTTCTGATCAGATGTTTCATTGAACTGGTCGACCAGTGGTTCGACAGGTGTACGTCGGGTATGATCCTGTAGTTTACGAACTTTGATAGAGGTGGATCGAATCGGGCTACCGACGAGCTTATTACTTGTGCTTGAAATATTTCGAATTCGTTGAGTGATGCTACTCGAAATTGTTTTAGGGTCGATCAAGGAGTGACGCGTGCGAGAGGATGATGGAGAATGAACTTGAATTGTCGAATCCTTGCGTGGAGCGCGCGCTGTTGATGAACTCCTGCGTGGGGGGTACTCCGCTGGATTGTGAGGTACGGCGCGGGTCGAATCTCGAACAGGTGGCGGAAGTGATGTTGGGTCTGCTGATGAGGGAGGAGAGATAAAGAAGTCTGAAGAGGGGGTCGTAGTCGCAGACCCGTTCAAAGATGTTTGAATGGAGCGAGGTTGAAGTTGATCAGGTTGCGGATGTGGATGAGGTATTGTGACTGAAGAGGTTTGGTTTCGAAATTGGGCAATGACGTCTTGAATATGATTGAGTGGAGTCAATAGATCTTCAGCAAAGGCGAAGAAGTAATCATCGGGTACAGCAATTGCATCGGAAATATTGCTACCCATTGCGTCTGAAGGGGTGGTTACTGTCAAGGCATCAGGTGATGGTTGAGATGGTTGTTGAGAAGCAGTGTTGTTGATAGTCGAGTCACGTCTCTCAATCCATTCGCTTGTCTTGATTCGGATCGTCTCAACAAATTGTAATGACTGACATTGTTCAACCTCTTCAATGGTCTCCAGAGGGATTGAGATTTTGACATTTTCACCCGAATGTTGACAGGTGAAGACGACTTTTTTGAGAAGCTTGATCCATTCTTGCTGACTTTGTTGACTATCCGTTGAAAAGGTATAAGCCTTATTGGAGACCACCAATCTGAATTGATGAGGATTCTTTGCATTTGAAGATCTTGACTCGATTGTTGTACAGTAATGTAAATCAAGTTGACCAGTAGGAAAATAAGGTTCATAACTTGAAGGATACCAAGATAAGATTGAATCCTTGAGAATAAACCAATGCTTCGAGTAACGATGTGTGAATTTACTAGAGTTACGCTTAGCGAGTGTACCTGCTCTGATGATCTTTCCTTCTGTTTCTTCTTCTTCAGTTCGTTTTAGATAAGCATAAAAACAAAGATACCTTGTGGTAAGGTAAAGATAACCTTTCAATAAGACTGAACGAAAGAGCCAACAGGGATATTCTCCCAAGACATCTTCATTTGTAGGTAAATTGAAGATTTCCTTGAGTTTAGATGCTAAGAGGGTCTTTCGTTCTTCATCAGTGAGCTTCCGTTTTGATCTGCTAGGTCGATGTGTATGTGAATCCGAAGGTATAGGGATGACTGAGTTTGACATCTCGGGTATAGAAGCAGCTTGAGGAGGATGTTTCAAGGTCAAAGAGGATGATGTTGGCTCGAGGTGTGATGATTGAAGATGACGAGTTTGATAGGAGCTCGATTGAGGAGGTAAGCCTCGTTGGAGTTGATCATGTTGCGTGTTGAGTGTATGGGAATCTGAATGGAGTTAGATCGAGAGAAGCAACAATGAAGTCAGATTAACAGTTTGAATGCGGAAGTGTGAGCGAAGTGGAAATAGCAGTGTCAGTTGGAATGCGGATCAGGAGTGTCTGATCAAGTATCTTTCTCCCGGGTTTGGTAAGAAGGAATGTGATTGGAATTTGTTTCTAAGATTGGAGAGCTTACCAAGATTCGATTGGTGATTGAAATCCGCTGAGAAAGGAGTCGAGTTGGGGTGATCATCTTGATCGGAATGTTGAGGAGAGGGTTTGGAATGCGATTGGGGATTTTCTTCGAATAATTGATGGGAAAATGATCGATGGATGGCATAGATTGAGGATTCGATGGGAATATGAGGAGAAGCTGAAAGGAGATAAGAATGTCAATTCTGATACAATGAAACGAGCTGATTGAATTTAGCTTACATTGAGTCAAGTGTTTCGAGGGTGAAGGAGGACTTGAAGGATGATGAAGAGTTTGAAGTTGATCTGCATCGTTTGAAGATGAAGTGGCGATTGGAGAATTGATTGTTGGTTTCGCACTGGATTGACTTTGAGCTTGTGATGATGACGGTGTTTGTCGAGTTGAGGGATTAGGTAAAAATGAAGTTGAAGTTGGATTGGTTTGATGATAAGATTGACTAAATTGCATTGCTTTCAAGATTTGAACCATACCCTGATTAGCATTATCATAATTAAGATTGATGTTTGAACTTGAAGAATTGATCTGAGAAGTCGATGATGATAATGATTGATGAATTTGGGGATACAAGTCATTGGTGGGCTCTTGATCATTACTGTCATCATCGTCGTCATGATTTTGATTGTGATTTGATGAACGGTTAATTTGATTTTCAATTTGTTCTGATAATGGTTCCTGTGCTGTTGATGATTGTTGTCGTTGTTGTTGTTGATTTGAAGTCATTTGTTCTTGATTGATTTGTTGTAAGATGAAGATAAGGATAAAGTTAAGTTTTCCAAAATGACATTTAAATTTAAATATAAATTGATTGGTTTTCAAAGTGAAATAAGTTTCAAGTTATAATATTGTTGATGCCAATGGCTTCAATGAATGATGAGGATGAGGATGAGGATGAGGATGTTGATGATGGTTAAATAGTTTGTAACAGGAACATAGGGAAGCTAGGTAAACAGGAACTTGAAGTGTAGATGTAGATCTGAGTGTATGCACTACAACTTTAAATTTAGTAAAGTAGACTTTAACCTCATTTCTTGGATTTAAATCAACCAAGATCTCATTCTCATTCGATCGATCTACTAAGTACACTCTTGTCGAAAACCTCATTTCAGTTCCCCAAAACGTTCGGGTAAGTGATGTTCCTCAGAGAATCCGAAGCTCTGACCAAACCACAAGCCTTTAGAGCCTCTTCGCTCTTCAGGCTACCGACCATGTATTTGATTTACCAAAGCGTAATGCTTGAATTAAGTTCTCCGTCTGCTTTCACCGAACCGCGAGATACATCAGCAACCAGGTGTCAGACCGAGCACATTGGAATAACCAAAACAGTCGATGTTTCCCAAATGTAACCCATCCATCACATTCAAGCCATCCAACCAAACCATACAACAGGACCCTGGAATACACCCATGGAGGGTACTTACGAAAAAACCGACCTTTTGTTGACGTAGTTTTTCGATACTAAACTGCACTTTATCAATACCTACAGGAGCACAAAAGATGCACCAGAATGAAGGCTTTCAAATGCACTAGCTCGCAGCCTGGTAGCACCAATTTTACCTAAGATATATCAATGTAACGCCCAAAAAAGGGCCAAAAATCGAGGGTCGGTTTTTGGCCTTGGAGGTCGAAAAAAAAATTGCGCCATCGCGATTTACGCCGCCGTGAGACATGATGCCGGGCTCTGTCTGGTCTCATCTGATAGCCCTACTCCATGCGCATCTTTTGAAGTGCTCTGCAGCTTCATAGAGGCACTGATGCGTAGTGAACAGTCGATGTTTCCCAAATGTAACCCATCCATCACATTCAAGCCATCCAACCAAACCATACAACACAAACTGCCTCACCCATACCCAACCAGACGGCCAAAGCTGAGCACATCACACCTCCTCAATTGTAATAACGAGCTATGTAAGAGAAAGGATAAAAAATAGATTTCATAAAAGTGGATTCATCAACACATTCTCAATCTTAGCCGAGTACCAACGTTTAAGTTGATCCGAGTTCTTTTCTATATGTGGAACCAAAAAGTTGTTTTGAGACAAGAAAGACAAAAAGTTGTAAGATGAGAAGTAAAGATGCCTAAATGAAACAGCCTTAAGTCAATGATAGAGCTTGGGATATACATTCCATCTTGATTTGTTGATAATGTTTTCGCTAGGACTTCAAAAATCGATCTCACTTTGACACAAAGAACGAGAGTAATCTCGACCTCTTTTTAATCCTTCTCTTCAATTCATAGTCTTCTTTGACACTTGATGATTGATTGGGGTTAAGAGCATACATATACCATCTGTCTTGATGACACAATATCGCTTTCAACAATTTCAATCAAGAGCTCAATTCAATTGGGAAGCAAGATCATATATGTATTATATCTTCAAGATTAAACATTTCATGAAAAAAAGAGATGTAATTTTTTTTGTTTTGCTTCTCCTATGGTAGAAAGTATTTCCACCGCTTGCTTTCTTTTTTACTGATGAAATGAGATCATATTGTAAGATTGGATTTGGTTGGTTTCGAAGAAAGTTGAAATCGGCAGACTTTACAAATGATAAAGAGGGTTGATATTTAGCGGGAGACAATGGTTGTGTGCTTTGCCCATTCTTTGCGGGGTTTGGATGAGGTTGTTGGTTATTAGATGAACGAGACAACACTTTTAATTGATGAACGTGTTTCAATAGGTTTCAATGCGTTCGGATCAATTTTCAGCTTTGGAAGGGAAGTCAAGTCTTCTTCTTCATCGGATGGAACCACAGGGATGTGTGCCAGTGTGTGACAGATTCTAACAATCTCATACTTTTGCTGTTTATCCTTTTGGGGCATTACAAATTTCTATTTGAAGAGTGCGGGAAAAAGGTCACTTTTCTTACAGACGTTGCTCCCACTGCGATCCACTGCGTTACAGGACATGGGACAGTGGGTAGCGGCTACGCTCGCGAGCCTCGTGGTTTGGTCAAAGCTTCGTTTACTCTCATGTTCCTGGTCGATGTTGAAAGATCTCTTGGGATACGACATTAATCCATCTGAAGTCAGCACTGATGAGACCGAATGGGCTGTCAAAGGGCTGGCTCACTTGGGTGAACTTGGATGTGAAAATGTAATATGGTGATGTTCAAAAACTTCTCGATGGTGACTGTCACTTTCAAATAAAACAGTCAAGAATTTCCATAAATGAAGCAAGAAGTGTGAATACCTAAGCTTAACTGAGCCCCTCTTTCGACTTCGAGAGCGGACGTGGCCGCGTCGGAAGAGGGGCTCTTTCTCTGTCGCTTCTTCATTCGATTGAGTACCTTCGTGACCTGGGCAGCGGGCTAAGCTTAACTAAGCCCCTCTCGGACGAGCGAGTAGTCGAGAGAGGGGCTTATATCGGACTCGCGTTTCATGGCGGGAGAGCTCCAGAAATTAAGTGCCTTTATGTACTTTTCTGGAGCTCTCCTCAATTCCTCACCGTAGGATTTCTCAAGGTTCAGGTATGTTCTCCTTCATGAGGAGCTACACAACCTCGTACCACTTTCATCAACAACTGAGAGCTGTGACGCTTTCAGGAAACGTTGCGCAAATGGTTTCTTACGTCCTCCTGTAACAGCCTAAGCATGCCAGTACAGGCCTGTACTGGCCTTCACCGAGATTTGGATGTTTGGTCCTTTGCCGAAACTGCCGCCGAAATGGATAAAAGCTAAAACCCTTAAGATATTCATCAAAACCCTTGGATATCGAGGGACACTTATCCCGGTGGCGCGAGGTCCTTTATTGTTTTTACAAAGACGAAACCCTTGTGGTGTTTTGTCAAGAAATTGGTAGTTTCCGACAAAGCTGCCATTTCAGCCTCCTGGTCTGAAATAGCCAGCTACACATTGCAACAAACTGGAAATCCGTTTTGAATACCCTTACTTCCAACAAATCTTGCTGAAAGTGGTACGAGGTTGTAAGCTTGAGAAATCCCACAATGAGTATTTGAGGAGAGCTCCAGAAAAGTACATAAAGGTACTTAATTTCTGGAGCTCTCCCGCCATGAAACGCGAGTCCCATTTAAGCCCCTCTCTCGACTACTCGCTCGTCCGAGAGGGGCTTAGTTAAGCTTAGCAGCGGGCTGTTTACCTTGAAACCACTTTCAGTCATTCGATTTTTGGCTTTAAGATCACGTCCATTTTCTTTATTCAATTGATTTGCTTGATGTAGGTTGGTGTATAAAGGGACTGGCTGTTGATCAACCTCAAAGCGGGGTCATCTGGTCACCTCTGGTCACTCCTGAGTCCTTGCGTATCCAAAGCCAAAAACTTTTTGGATTGAATAACACCACTACTCAAAAAATGAACGTGGGTGGCACATTCCACTCCTCCTCGCGCCGGTGGAAAAAGCCAAGTCCGGGAGCCGTGTGTTGGAGGAACAAGTTCAGTATTTCTATGAAATAAAACCTGAGGTCAGCAAGTGTCTGTGATCGGGCCACTTCCTTACCTGAACTTCCTCCCTTATCATTTTTTCTCTCTGTCAATCTTCACTCTTTTCAGGACTGTTGCGCGTGTTAGGACACCTCAAATCCAATTGACGTACTTCTTGCTCTCTTGTGATACCCAAGAATGCTTCACGGCCTCCTCAAGATCTCCTTTTTGATTTCTTGCCTGTTAATTCATGATATAGAGGCGGGCGAGACTGTTTGGTGCACCGGGTCGTTTTCACCCCTCGATGAGGACTCTTCAGGCATGTGATCTCGTTGAAGATTTCTCTTGCCTTTATCACTGCAACTTCAGCATAATCGTCAAGTGTCACTAACATAGACCTGTCTTGTTATTGATCACATCAACAGATTGTCTGTCATTGATCCCTAAAAGGCAAACATATAGCTGTAAACCTTCAAGCTGCCAAGTTGATTGTAAAGAGCTTTCGAATACCTATATCATCATCCATCATCTCTGATGTCCATCTCACTGGAATGTTAATCAATGTGTATCTATTTTATGCATCGGATTTCAGACCACCAATGGGTTCAGTGGTACCCTTGCCAGCTGACCAACTCAAACGATAAAGGCGTCAGTACTCAACAATGTGTGAAATATTCATGGATCAAGCCGATTTTCAGTCAGTACATCTTTGATCCTTCCCGGTTCTCGTCAACTTCACTGATTTTGCTTTCTGCTGAATGTGTAACGTTCAGCTTGTTATAACCCCAACAATACACCTTATACATGCAAGTATACTCCTCAAACTGCGCCGCCCATGGGTCAGTCATATCTTTTTCCTCCATCGAAAGCATTTCTTATCTGAAAAGAATTTGTTTCTACCAGTCTGTACCGATTGCACGGAGACAACGCCGGGAATTGCATAAAAGTTCATCATCACATTTCATTGACTTCAGTCAATCAGTTCATGTCATTCTTTATCACATTGATAGAAGGAGGTTAAGGAGATGAATTCCCGGGATATTAACATCTTACCTCATTATTAAATATCTCTTCTAGGGCGTGAAGGTGGCCGTGCAAGAGGTGCTCAGTTAAATTTTAAAATACCAATTGTCATCAAACTTTGAGATAGCAAATTTAATTCTCTTGTGCATAAAACCTTTGAGCTTTGAGATAGAGTAGATATATCTTGACCCTCATCCAAAAATCAAAGTCTTCACAAAACTCCACAATAGTCAAAGTTGTGACCATCAGCATTTCCACAAAATAGGATCCAAAAAGATCCATTTGGTCAATTTTATGGAGGCTTTTGAGATTCTATCATCATGAAGCTTTTTTATGTCAAAATCTGTGTCTGGTTTCCAATATCATCCAAACGGAACAAAAGGTCTTGATCAAGGCATGTTCTTGCTTTATGAATAACACAATCACTTTACTGTTTGTTTGGCAAAATTTCCACGTAAGTGATATTTATTCAAAATCTACATGTTTGTTGTCTAGATCAAAGGCAGTATGGACTTGGAGGTGTTTTAAATAAGAAGTCATGCTTGAGGCATTGGACCCCTGCCCCGGCCTCACATTCACTAACCAAGGCAATTTGTGCCTCATACTTCAATATCATCACCACAAGAAATTTGAAAAAAAGCCCAGCGCTGAAGCCGCTATGTATAAGGTGAGGTCAAGCATGTGTGATAAGTCGCTTCCTCCCGGATCATACCTCTCATACCTATCTCACTCGCGTTAAATAGGACTGTTGCGTTTTGGAATACATATTCCAATTGACGTTCTTCGAGACGCCGCGGTTCCAGGGACGACTGGTGCGAGGGACTTGTGTACCGCCAGTGGCGCTTTCTGCTTCCCGCTTCTGCTCATACCAGAGGAAAACCCCTTGAACACAATTTCCTGAAACGGAGTTTTGTATGAAGAAAAGAAGTAAATTCATTTTCCACAATTTGTATGTACAACATTTTTTGAATCTAACATACTTCCAGGTGCTTCCTCCGGGCTCCCAGATCGTTTTCTCTTCGTGTACTCAACCTAGACGGTTGCAAGTTCAATTACCTCATCTGTGGTTCTTCTTCCCCTTCACGTTGTACCCAAGATGCACCATCTTTTCTTCAATATTACCTTTCTGATCTTTTCCCTTTGGATTCATGGCCTGGAAGGCGATGCTACAGTCTGGGCGTGCAATGGAGGATATTCAATAGACGAAAATGGTCATGGAAGTATGTGATTTCATTCAACCCTTCATCGCCTGGACACCTAAGCATGATCTACACCCACGACTAATGTAAACCTGATTCTCGATTGCTCAATCTGAAAGTATGCAAGATGCAAGGTCAATTCAACAGGAAGTATCAATGCCCACCTAACACTTGCTTAACTGATGGTAAGTACATCCTCTCCAAGCTGAGCATCATTACGACATGAACTATCACCGTGAAGCTGATCAGAGGGAATTTGTTTTCGACTTACAACGTCAGATAATCAACCATGGGTGCCAATGAGTGGCTGCGTACTCAAACATTCTCCAATCAAAGGCCAAAGTAACCAACAATGTGCAACATATGATTACAATGAGCCAACCGTTGATTACAGTCAGTAGAGTCTTGAACTTTTGGTCTCCATCAAGTTACTTATTCTTGCTTTACATTTTCTCCTGAATGGGATATGTTTAGCCTGTACCAACTCTGGACAAAAAACGTATGTATGCGCTGGAACTCTTGCTACTGTGCGACCCATCAGTCAGTCACTTTTTTTTACATTTCAAACGCTTTCTTGACTGAAATGAGCTTGTTTCTTTCCAGTATGTAAATCTTGCATCCGGATACTGTGGTCATGAAAGCACACAATCCTGCAACATCTTGTATCTTCTCGCACATAAAAAATGAGACATTCTTCGAGAGTCGCGTCGCGCGTGATCGACTTTGTTTCTGGAACACATCCTCATGTCTTGATTTGATTGAATCAGGCGAATGATTGAGACATCCAGGCTCTGCTTCCACCATTCCCTTGCCCATACCTATCTGTGATGTACTTATCTCATGTTGGCCATCCACTTTGTGACATACACCTTCAAAGAGTTGTACTGCTTGTGATATACTACACAAAAGTCAGGACTTCCTAGCACAGAGCCTTATAGCATCTCTCTTGGATATGTTATTTCTCATTTGATTCTCATGAAGACTCTTGAAAAGGCGGGATGAAGAGTGGGATATTTATCGATGTAATCATATATGTTCGCATTTCAAAAGACATACTTGTTCACACTGTGAGTGGACCACTATTAGGCCTAGTGGACAGATCTTTTCAAGCTTCAGCTTCCAATTTAGAGGCATGTTTGATATAATATGGTACTAGGATCACCGGGATGCTTAGTTGGAGTCGGACTGAGATAGATGGACAAGTGGAAATGTAGATATCAACTCCTGAGCTTATACTTTATTTTGCAGAAATAAATGTGAATAATGAAGATGCGAGTCCTCAAACGCGAGTTTCTGGTTGGCTTTGTTGAAAATTCATTGTGATGAAGCCGTGATGGATTCAGGAATTGGAGCTGTCTTTATTCTTTTATTCCCCATCTTGAGTTAGAACTAATAGGTAGTAACAAACCAGAAAGCTGAATGTTGCACGCGAGAGGCCTTACGCACCGCTCCGTACCGCTTCTTCTCACATAGTTACTGGAGGAAGCATCCTAAACTCAATCCCGAAGCTGGGTTTTCTAGGAGAATATCATATAGTATCCTTCATAGGGGTCCTTTGTGATCATCTTTCCTTGGTAAAATCTCACAGATTCTATACTCTTGCAAGTTGAGATACATGATCAGTGATTATTCCTCTTCATCTCTCGTTGTACTCGAAATACTCTACTTCTTCCTTCAAATGAGCTTTTTGATTTTTTCGATAAGGATTAATGACCCGAAGGTGTCAGGCAGCGAAGGTGAGGTAGGTTTTGAGTGTGACATAGGCTTTGCGATTGGCAAAAATAACAATGCAGGTATGTGACAGCTTTTATATCTTCCTTACCTTACACCAGCATAAGTTTCATCATACCCATGCCCACCCACGGCTGACGTATACCTCTTCCGTGATCGCTCGAATTAAAAGTATGCACGCGGACAGTACACACGTATATCATTGCGCATTTCCATCTTAGGCCATCAATGGGTTGAGATGACCGGCTGTCACCTTGGACCCAGCGACAAAGGTGGAAGTGATCAACATTGTGCATCATACCAGTACAACGCATCATACCAAGCTCACAGTCAGTATTTCGAGACTCGCACATTACGGTATTACAAAGTGACTTATCCAAGATCCAACCTTTGTGACCGGATGGAAAATTTTCAGCTTGTACCAACCCCGAGAACGTAACTGTACATGCCCTGATTATGATCCTTATAATGTGCCCCTCACAAGTTGGTCATATCTTATCAGTCAACTGACACAAGTTTTCTATCTTATCAGCATGTACTGAGTGTCTAGAGGCGAGGTGACACCTTACACCAAAAAAAAACAATCTCTTAACATCTCGTACCGGAAGAGAATAGTAAATAGAAGAGGCAAATTTTACAAAAATATTCGATGACGCCTTAAGACAAGTAAGTGAAAATAGGTTGAGGATATCCTAGGTTTAAGTTGTACATATATCTGCTCACGCTGGCTCACTTCTAGACAGCAGCTTAGTGAAGGGCTGGTTCGACTCAGCTTATGCTCATTCTGAACCCAATTTGATATTGTATGATACATATGAGATGATGAGAATGCTGAGGATGTTGAGGGCAGTTGAGTTATGTACATATTTGTAATTCCTTAAGACCGAGAAAGGTACTGTCAAGTTGCCATTTTCGATTTCTTTTCTCAACTTTCTCCACTCAGATCTCAACTTTGACTTCAACTCATCCATCTCGAACCAAATCAACAATTCACCAACTCAACGAACAAAGAAATCTCAAACTAAACTATCCGACTCATCGTTCTTCAAAATGCCACCACCTTCTTCGTTCACTCAATTAGTAGTCGTCGCCCTCTTGGGATCTTGTTTCATCTTTCTATCTTCATCATCAAACAAACCTCAATCTCAAATCACTTTCTCAACACCATCTCAATCAGTAGAAGCAACAACATCAATGTTTCGAATTGCCATCATCGGAGCTGGTGCAGCTGGAACATCTACTTCATTCTTTCTATCTCACCTTTTACAATCTTCTAATCAAGCTCATCAACTCTCAACTGAAATCTTTGAAAATTCAACTTATATTGGTGGAAGAAGTACGATAATTTATCCATTTGATTCAGAATTATTTGAACCTATTGAATCAGGTGCAAGTATATTTGTCAAATCAAATTTAAATTTAAATAAAGCGATCAAACAATTCAAATTGAAACTCAAAACTTTTGATGAGAATGATGGTGGTAATCTTGGGATATGGGATGGTACTGAATTTGCTTTTCGAGAGACTGGTCAAAGTTGGTTAGATACAGCTAAGATGTTTTGGAGATATGGTAGAGCTCCGTATCAGCTGAATGGTATTAAGGATGAAATGATCGATCGATATAAGGCAATCTATGAATCTGAATTTATCACAAAGGGTCCGTATTATAATTTAAGCGCTTGGGCTGAGGCTAGTCAGTTAGCTGGACTTTTACCACTCTCTGGTAGCAAGAAACTCATCGAGGAACAAGGCATCAATGTTCAAGCTGTCAACGAATTAGCTGCTGTAGCTTGTCGCGTGAATTATGGACAAGATATCTCTGATATACACGCGTTAGGGACATTAGTCAGTTTAGCTGGTTCGGATGGAATGAGTGTGAAAGGAGGAAATCGACAGATTTTTGAAAAGTTTGCAATTGAAAGTGGTGCGACTGTTCATCTAGCTCACCAAGTGACAAGAATATCCAAAGTGAAACCTTTGAACGCCGTTACGGACGAGAGATCAAAGTACACGATTTCATATAGGGATGCCAATAATCATTCTTTAACATCCGAATCTGGTCCATTCGACGCGGTGATCATAGCTGCTCCATTCCATCAAACTGGAATCGAATTCGATACGGCAGATGTTTCGTCAAAGATTCCAAATCAACCTTATGTTCACTTACACGTTACTTTTGTCATCACGAATGCCACGACTCCATCTGGGAAATTCTTTGGACTACCAGCAGAAGAAGAGATGCCAAAGACGATTTATTCAACAATGATGAGAAACGTACTAGGTAAAGGACAAAGACCGATCTTCAACAGCCTTAGTTATCTACGGAACATGGGCCCTAAAGTTGGTGTGATTGGTGACTTACATATTGTCAAACGTATGCACTCTTTATTTCGCTTTATTCAAGAAGATCTTTAGGTTTTCATAATTTCTGTCAATTTCCTGTTTTCTTAGTGTTTTCAGAGGCTACACTGTCAACTGAAACCTTGGGAGAAATCTTCAATTTGCCTCAAAATTTGATCTGGGTCAAAAGAATCGAATGGGATGCTTACCCAGTTTTGAATCCGATCGTTGATGTAAACCAATTAGCTCCTATGAAACTTGATGAAGGCCTTTATTGTTCGTGGTTTTCCTTTTTGATTCGTGTCAACAGGTTGAAAAAAAAATTCTACTGCTTCCTTTTTGCTGATGTGTGATTTATTTGTGCGAATAGATATCAATGGATTCGAAAGACTAATGAGCACTATGGAAACTGAAACACTAGCGGCTTGGAACGTTGCTGATATGATTTCTAAAGATCTTTGGAACTTTCATGCTAATCAATCTTGGGCGTCTGAATAATCAAACTGCGTCAAATCATTTTCAGAATCACACATTTTTTTGCATTTTATGTAAGTCAAGCTCTGTAAACTTAGTGTACCTAAAAAAGTTTCAAAATCATGATGAGACCCGTGGTGTTAGTTTCTGGTTATTTAATTTCTTAAAGGTTTGTATGAGTTGAAGAAGTATATGTATATACCTTATTGAATGTATTTTTTTACCCCTATCATCGTTCATGCATTTTGAAGGTTCCTGCTTGTTTTTTTGTTGTTGATGATGATGATGAGTTGATAACCATAAGTTGATCATCCTGAACTTTCCATTTTTCTTCTGGGTATAACATGGACCATCAGTCCGGTGAACTTGATGTAAAACTACTCAACGAGTAGAGTAGTCAGCAGTTCCGGATCAGGAATCAATCTTGAGGAGTGATATAAGTTCCATATTCGAAGACGGAGGCAAGTAAGAAGATGTCTTGGAAAGGATCCATACATAGATTGGCGTGAGGCGGTCTCAAAGCAAGTCTGGATACAACACACACGGAGCTTTACATGGAGGGAGTAATATGCACATACGTGACACGGTGTCCCTCGCGTACGGAAGCCGTGACGTGAAGTGACCGCCACCGTTTTTTCAAAACTTCGGTTTTCGGTTTTTGGTTTTCGGTTTTTCGACTTTTCAGGTTTTTAAGTACAAATGCCAATATTTGCAAACCAGCCCCTGCATCTATAAGACTACCGTGCCCCCTGGCAAAGAAGCTGTCATTATTGCAGCCTAAAAGTGACCCCTTGTGTTGCGTCTTTCTGAGCAGTCCATGAAAGTTTTCAACATGGTTGCTTTACGTGTCCTCCTCCCTTCATCCGAGCTGGCCAAAGAACTCTTCACATTTTCTCTCCATCACCAAAATCATTCAATTCCTCTTTAATTCCTAATCTAAACGCTCAAAACTATTGATAATGGATCATCGAGTAGAATGTGAAGGCTGTAGCGTTCACTTTCCAAGAATGACCACACCAATTTGTGGTCGCTGCCAGAGGATGGAAGAGGACACGAGTGTAATGTGCACATTACCTCAGTGCTTGGGTTGTGGCAAATGTTATCGCTTCCTTACCAACTCCAAATGCCAACTGTGTAAGGGAAGCAATGATGCTCAGTCCGGTATCCCAACTCGTGCTCCACATCCAAATCCGGCTTCGACCTTGACCAATCCGGCTTCCGCTTCAGTTCGGAACACACCTTTAACCGCTTCAACTCTTCCACAAGAGCTGTTCCAGGGCGGAGACACTCAGCCAGCCTTCAAACCCAACTATTTACCAGTCGCATTGAATTCACAACTCCAAGGGTCCATTCGCGCATCCCAGTCTGGAAGGCGCACTGTAGGTCAGCCAAAGGGTAAGAAGAAGAAGGAAATTGAGGAGGTAATTGAAGAGGAAACTTCTGAAATTGAAATCTCGATGAGTTTTCTTTACCTGAGTGGAACCGGCAAGTCCAACTACGTACGACATGGTCTAACACCTCGAAAATTCAAAATCAACCTCGACAGCGCAGATTGGTTTTTCTCTCTTGGTTGGGATGTCTACAAATACTACCTACAAGAAGCCAAGGATTCAGCGTTCCCATCAAAGACTCAGCAGCGAGATAACAAAATCTGTGCTCTGCCACCAGACTTTTCATCCACGTATTGTATCATCGTGGAAAATGGGGTATCAGTGACACAGGATTCAATGAAAACAACTCTCATCAGCAAGTGCAAGACCAAGAAGCTCGATAAAACTAAATTTGGCTTGTTATTTAATATGAGGAAATACCTTGCGACTCTTTCATCGGATTCTTCTCCTGAACCTGATCGAAGTCGAAAACGGACGAATCGATACGAACTTACCTCTGATGAAGAGGCACTGGATGAGTCTCCGGAACTCGATCCGGCTCCTAAACCCTATCCTCACACGCGAAAACGCCAGTGAGCCGATCATTCATCGGACAATGATGATGATGATCATCATCATCATTCTATAGTTGATGAATCTCTCAAGCAACTTGTCCGGTTTCAACCTTCAAAAGGTACCCGGCCGGTCATCAAGAATCACAATCTCCAATCATCACATCTCTTGCTCGATCGATTCAACGATACAGTGTCGATTTCGGAACCTCAAGACCAGGAAGCAGATCGTTTTGAAGAAATCATACACGTCAACTCTGCAAGCTCGGCACAAGTTCAACTGGTGCAACTTCAGCAACCAGTTCCTCCTGAAAGAGATGACAGTGCTGATGCTGATGGACCGAAAGTAAGTTGTTTTATTATATTAACATCCTATTATCGAGGTTGATTAACTCAACCTCGATCTTCATCATTTTGTTCAATTACTACTACAATTGAAAGAAGTCCGTGTGTGTATGTGTACAAACGACTCGGAAACTCTCAATTCACGATATCTTGGTCGGGCAGTTAGAGTGTGATGAATGTGAGTCTGTAGAGCTTCTTGTAGATGTGTGATGGTCCTGATATTATTTCTTCTTTTTTGTTCTGTAAGCTATGTACCTTGAAATGTTTGGTAACACACATGAATTAGCCCGCTCGGCGAAGGAAATCCTGCCATACCCTCCTCGCCCGATTGCGAATTGGAACGAAGGCTGGCTACTCTCGTTGATCACTAAAAACCGAAAAGCCGTCTTCAAACCAGTCGCCATCTCTTTCCGGGTCGATCGAGAATCTTTGATTGGTGCGGGTCGATTCATGCAGTGCTATAAAGCAGAATTGCTTATAGCACTTCAAGCTCATCGTGTTGTGGCTAAGCAGGTGTTTGGTGACCACTGTCCATTGGCGCAGTATCAGCTTCAAGCACAGACATATGTGCACGTTGAAGGTGTTATTGAGAGGTTTAAGGCCAATGTTTTGAGTAACGAGAAATTTACTCAACTAGAGAAGGATTTAGTCAATACTTTGAGAGTAAGATTCTCTTCAGTTTCATTCATCAGGCTGGGTAATTGCAACTGAGCTGACAAGAAATTCTCTCTGTACTTCTTGAATATTGTAAAACAGATTGTGAAGCGTTGGGTTGTGCAAATCGTGGGTACTGAAGAATCACACATGGATTTCAAAAACAATAGCTCAAATTTATGGATCTTTGAAGAGGAACTTGTAGGTGACTATGTGAAGTATGTTGGAAACAATAATTTCACTATTGAATCCAAAAATGAAGGTGACCCACTTCATGAAATGCTTCATGCAATGTCACATTATGATTTGAATGAGAATCAGGGACGCTCTTTTGTGTGTGACCTACAGGGAGTTGGTACTACACTCACTGACCCAGCAGTCATTGATCTTGAGTGAGTGTAGTTCATATTTCTTTTTTTATCCTAAAAAGAAACTAGTAACGTGAATTAATTTTCCCCATTATTTTGAACACAGTAAATCCTTCGGGAGCGGAAACTTGAACTATGATGGCCTCAAGCTCTTCATATCTCAACACAAGTGCAACTTGTGGTGCAAAAAGTGAGGCCTCACTTTGGCAAGAAAATGGCAGTCAGAACTCAAGAAGTAGATGGTTGATCTATACAATTTGGACAACAGAGTTTAATAGAGAATTTTTTTTTGGAAAGTTTTGAAAGAATCTTATGAATAAATGTATAAATCTTGTCTATACTTCTACTTTTTTTTGTTGAAATAAAATCGGTGATTATCCTATTCAATCTTTGTTGAAACCAAATGTGAGATTACACATCTTCATCTTCATAAAACCCCTCTAAATCAAACTCTACCTCAATGAGTCGCAACAAGGGCAAAACCCTTTCAAAAACTTTCCATACATTGTTGACAGTGATATTGGCTTCTTGAACACCTAACCGTTGGATTAAAATGCCGACTTGCAGGGAGAACTGAGGAGGAGAAACTTGCAAAAGATCTGCACGGTCTGGATATTGATCATTGATCATTTGATCAATTGCCTCCAGGGGTACAGGATGAAGTCCCTGAGTCCCATCATAATTTTCAGGAGAATAATAACATGTATTGGGTGCGACTCCAGTTGGGAGGTGTGAATTTGGGTTTTTGCGAGTCCGGTATGTGTTCTTCCTTTCCATGAATGAATTCATCACGTGTTGAACTAAAGGCATCCAGAGGTGTAAAAACAAAGCCCTACACACAAAATTTGAAATCACATTCATTAGCAAAGAAACAAAAAAGAAAAAGGCTGAAATCAGTGTAAGAAACTGACTTCTGAAGTGGGTCCTTTGGATTATACATCCCGGTATCAATAGCCAGTTTGATATCATCACGTAGAGTTGTATTCTTTGCGCGCATTAGCTGTGACCAAAGTGACTCTATCTTCTGATTGTGAGTAGAAGTGGTGTAGTGGTGATGGCTCAATGCGTCTTCAACACTTTCCCCAGCGTAAATGTGTGTAAACAAAGCTTGAAATGTAGCCATATCACCAGTCTCGGTTCCATGATCGGTTGAAGTTTTGACTGGGAATCCTCCAACAGCAGAAACAAGCTCTAGAAAATATAGACCAACTACTCGTGGGTTGTTGTTTGTTCGCCCAACTCGAAGACTCAAAACCTTCCTTGACCATGTATCAATAAAACCATAAATACATATCCCATATGGCTTAAGTTTATCGTGCCCGTCACTAGCCCATAGATGATTGGGTCCTGGAACGTGAAAGATCCGTCGCTTGAGAACACCACGATGGCGAAGTTCGATTCCTTCAGGGTCAATTACACGCATCAACTGATAGACTGTGTCACGATTGATCTTGATGTGGTGATTAACCGCAAGGTTTTGCTGCATAGTTCGATATCCTGCATTCCGATCTTCACCTTCAATTGCTTCCAGTAATAAATCTACCACCTGATCCACCGTCACACGGCCTTGTTGTACATGATCACGTCGCCAATTGATACCCAAGTCTTTTGACATTGTTTGAATGTTATACATATTGATAGGAATGTCATATGTATCATTAATTGCACACATGGCTTCTAGACGTGTCATGCCGAAGGTGTAGTATTGTTCCAGTAGAGGGTAAGCTTGTTCCTTCTGCTCCTGAGTCATTGATGCTCGAGCGGTGGTGAGGTCAAAGTTCTTGAGAATACGCTGCAGGGTTCGCAAAGTTGTCTCAATATTGTGATTGTCCGAAAGGCGAGTGACCATTGTAGCCTGGGTGATACCCTCCTCACAGTAGCCAAGAAGGATTGGGCCAAGAACTTCATCCTGTATTTCATTTATTTGCACCATGCTTTTAAGTTAATTACAAGGTTGATCTAATGTTCACAATTAATTTGAATGAGTGAGTGAATTTTGATCTAATGATATCAATTAATTTGAATGGGTGAGTGAATTTTGATTTAAATATCAATTGATTTGAATGAGTGAGTGAATTATGATACAATAAGTGTTCCTTTGAAAAAACAAAGGTCAGTGGTGGGTGGTGATGGTTGAAATGACCTCGGTGGAGGTTATCGTGGTAGCTGGTGATGACGAGCAATCGGTGTGTTGTGTGGTGGTGCGAACGGTGAGGTGAGGTGAGGTGTGATGGTGGTGGTGGTGGTGTGATGTTGAAAATGCGGAGTCGGAGATCGGCAATTCGAAATTAAACGAAAATCAAAAATCGAAAATCGAAAATCGAAAAACCGAAAACCAAAAACCGAAAACCGAAAACCGAAAACCGAAGTTTTGTAAAAACGGTGGCGGTCACTTCACGTCACGGCTTCCGTACTCGCGTCATCATACTACATATCTCCTTGCTTCACGAGTCTGGTCATTCTCTTCGATGCTAAATACGACCACAAAATTTAATCTTCATTCACAATCTCTCTTCGCTGGTTGAAAGGTGTCTTGCGACTTGCTTCACTACTTTGTGAGCATTAGATGTCCCAGACCCCCTTTATTCATTATATAGCACTGCTTGTAGGTGTATTATAACCTATTATAACGTCATAGCGTTTCTTTTTGGTCACTTGGACTTGTGTATCTCTGTTACAAGGATTTGCGCTTCGAGAAACATCAAAGCAAACTCATCTCAATCATATGGCGTGTTACCATCATCATAATTTCATGATATGACAACAAGATGTAGATGAGTATGGTTATGATTATGGCGGATTGAATTTGAAATGCTTATAAACAAAGTCCCTCGCCGTATGGCCACTTTCTTTCATCTATTGCAGTGAACTTCATCCATCATATCTCAACAAAAATCAATTGGAAATCATTTAGAAAGGGAAGTTTACTTACCTGGCACCAACAGATTATCATTTTGTTTGTTTTTATTTTTCTCACTATGTTCGACTTTTTTTTTGTTATTGCGATCCTCAAGACATAAGTTAAATTTATTCATCTTTCTATTTTTTGGTGTTATTGTCGATTAGTCTCTCTCTTTTTCAATATCGCCTCTTTCATAAGATGTGTGCATATTTCGCAGATACACACTTGGTATCATGATGACATATGTAAGAAGAATAACTACACCACGGGGTGACTTTCAACTGGCCCCACCTGAAACGAGGCATAGTGGCATCTTGTGGTGGGGCTATGAAATTATCAGATGTTTTTACGTGACAGGCACATGAGGGAGGCCATGTGGTTCTCACCCAGGCCGTCACATAGCCATCACATGAAAAAAATTGACCACATCGGCGTAGTGTGGTTTACCAGCCGATCGGTAGGCACCTCAGGTCTGTCTGAGGACGACCTGTCATCCAGGTGGTCAGCATTCAAAAGAGCATGGATGATCGGCATCCAAGCTCTTTCAGATGCTGAGGACCTGGATGACAGGTTGGTCAAGTAAGGAAATACCGACCTGCCATCCAGGTCCTCTGTGAGGCTGGCATCGGCTGCCGAGCTCACGCCGGGTGCTCAGCACCTGGCCATCGTGCAATTGACAGGTGAAATATACCTGGGTCCTCAAAGTAAGGACAGCAAAAGATCAGCGAAAAGATTTGAAAAAAATGATTCAAGACTTTGAATCATTTTGTTTACCATCTGTTTGATTGATCCTAAATCAAACCACACCAAATTGAAAACTGTGAATCTTTGATTCCATTGAAACCTGTTCTCTTCGATTCCGAATCGAACACCATCTTTGATTCCATCAAAAACTGTTTTCTTTGATTCAAAACCAAGAATAAGCTAACTCAAAACTGTCCAACAAAGTCAACTCGAACAACCTCAATTCAAACAACCTTGAGCGTGTGTCTTATACATAGGACCAATCTCTTTGTAATTAACTTTTTGTGGATGATTCATGTAAACTTGATTAAATCAACTTAAATCCCTAAGCCCCCCCTTAGAAAATTTGGCCAGCAACTATGCCATGAATTTATGCTCTAAGGTGGAGGTGCTACAGGGATTTAAGTTAACGCATTCCCCTTCTGGGTATCCCAAGGTCATTTGACCAGAGGGACCCAAGGAATGTGGTGTGTGTGATCCTATTTTGGCTGATCCATTGGCCCTCTATTTATACCTTTTTCTTGCGCTACCGTTTTCTACACGTAAGCTTTGAATTGGTAATGTGGGCCTTTCAAACACTTTTAAAAAGCACTTCTTGTAAGCTTGAACCCTCCTGGCGTCCCCAACCAACACCTCAATGCTTTTCAATAGCAATCTAACCTTGCTTTTCAAAAGCAATGGAGCTATTTTTACCTCCGTAGATGCCTTAAATGTTCGTCCGCCACCCCTCATGCTTTTTAAATAGCACTTCAACTTATCCTATCCCGTAATCTCTACCTGTTCCTTATGCTTTTGAAAAGCACTGAAACCTGAGCCACATGTTTATTTTTGAGCTTGTGAGCTTTTGTATTTTTACGCTGTCGATAATCTTATGTCTGGTTTTCAAACACTTTTGAAAAGCAATTCTTATCAGCCTATGTGCTTAAAACATCTCTGACCTATACTCCTCATCAGCACTTCACCCATGCTTTTGCAAAGCAATGCAATTGTTCTTATCAGCTTTTACCCTTCATATTGCTGGAACGAATAACGGTATGCTTTTAAGGGCGCGTTCACTTAAGGAATTTCTGACCA